GCCGTAACTACTACAGATACCAAGTTCACCCCTCTACACCCTTCTTTCTCTGTCTCCAACCAACATTCTCTCGTCATCCTCCAAATCCACTTCTTCCAATTAGCCTTCTCCCAGTTCGGCATCCATTTGCTTCCATTCTGCACCAAAATTCACACCATCTTCTCCACCTGCTTCTTAATCCTATTGGTTATCAGTAAACAACGTCGATAGAATCGGAGATTTCTCTCCTTCGAAAGAAGTAATTATGGATTATTTGATAGAGAGATGTAATTAATCATTAATATTGACGATGGAATCAGTGATTTGAAAGGATTCAATATGAAAACCAATAGATGTGGTGGTACATTTTAAGGAGGATGATTTTGATTCTGATGACAAAATAACCAACAAACCAGTCGCCAGTAATAATTACCTGTCAATCGATAAAAAAAAGTTATTCAACAGTATAATTAAAGATTAATTGGAATAATTTAAAAGACATAATTGAAAAAAGTTGGGAAAAAGAATTTCTAAAGTTTATTGACACACTATTAGAAATAACTTTTAAAAAAGATAACGGTTGGACAATCGATTAATCAAGTTTGAAAAAAAAAAACTTACCTGATAAACTGTTAGATGTTGATTACTAGAAAGTAAATGTTAAAAATTACACAAATATAACATCACCTTATATTATGATTAACAACAAGTCATTAATATATATATATATATATATATATGTATGTATGTATATATATGGGCACGTTCAAATGAAAATCATGCATTTCTAAGAAACCGTGTAAACCAATTTCGACCAATAGAAAAATTTCATTTTTTTCTAATTAAATTTAATCAATAAGGATATTTCGGTCATTTACAATATTTTCTATTAAATATGAAAATTATTAATAAATCTTAATTAAGAAAACGTAATAAAAGAAATTGTATAAATGGTAACATTTACATATTTAATTATATTATAATATTATAAATTTGAATTTGATATATTGTTATGAGATTGAATCTGTAAACGGGTCTTGAAGATTGAATTGCATTATGGAATGAAATCGTAAATTATGGTTCAAATTAAAAAAGTAATATTAATGAAACATGTTTCATGAAGATGAAACTGATTCATATTGTAATTGATTCATGAGTAATATGAAATCGTTTCATGGTGAACCACGTTTTAGTGATGGTGTAGTTGATCCATTTAGTAGAAAAAATGGAAAATGAAACGGGTGCATAATTTATTTGGTTCGTCATGAAATAATTGCACGATGAAACGGGTACATGATGAATCTGCTTCGGGATCTTGAAGATTGTAATCTTCTCCAGAATCTTGAATATTGTAAGGAGTAAGGAAAAAATGCATTAAATCATGAGTGAAATAAAAAAATTAATTTACATGAAACAAGTTTCATGAAGGTGAAACTGGTTCATGGCGTAATTGAACAATGAGTGGTGAACTGCTTTCATGGTGAAACCCGTTTCAGTGATGGTGTAGGTGATTAATTCAGTAGATGAAATGAAAAATGAAACGAGTGCATAATGTAGGCGGTTCTTCATGAAATAATTGCAAGATGAAAAATAAATTAATTTTATTAATAATAATAAATGTTAACGTAAAAATAATAAATTACTTTACAAAAAGTAGATTAGTTTCATTAATAATATGATACACATGATCTGGTTTCCTTAAATAAATGAATATTTGATTTTACCCTTTTGCCTTTATCGGTATTATAAAATGTATTTTCAATTTTTTTTTATTTTTAATTTTCTTAAATAACTTTGATTAATCTTAACCATTGATCAATAAAATGGATGAGTGAGATTGGTTTACATGGTTTACACAAATCGAAGCGGTTTTTATTTGATCGCTCCTCTCTCTCTTTATATATATATATATATATATATATATATATTGAAATAAGTAGTTACAAAATCAAATATTTTTTTAATTATTTAGGTCTAACAAGCCTTTTTTCAGTATAAATCAATATTGGTAATATTACTCAAATGAAAAAAAATGTATGTTTCACAGTACCAAACCGACAACGTATCTTCTACAAATATTATGAACGAGTGACACACGATATAAGAGCTTTGGTACGACTACCTGCCCTTATAAACATTTAATATAAAGTTTTCATTGGTAAGAATATAATAAATAAAAATCATTCATGATTGTAGCCATTTTTAGAGAGTTCTTCAAATTCGAAGATTTTCAGGCTTTCTTATTCTTTCTAGGTCATGAAGAAAGTTTTGGAGAATCTGTCGGTTTTTACCTCTATTAGAGATGCTCTGTGTAATTATCTAAATTTAGGTGGACAAAGATGCAAATTAGGAATTAAAAAGACAAAAGAAACACATTTCGAATTAAAAAAAAGTTGATCACTTTTTGTTGTTTTTTGTGACATTTGAATTATTAAAATTTGAATTCAAATACCATAAACATTTAGCAAATACATCGTAAACGGTCCAAATCATAATTTGCATTAGAAAATAAATTGTTACACAACATTGTACCATAATTTTAATAACAAAGAGAACACTAATGAAGT